GACCAATGATTTTCCCTCACCATAGATGCTTCTCTCTCTCACTCCCTCTCCTTTCCTCTCTGAAATAAAAACACACATATTAAAAAAAAAAAAAAAAAAAAAAAAAAAAAGATGTGCTTAGATGCATTAAGACATGACTATAGCATTTGGTTCAATTCACCAATTGCCTCTGTGCAGAGTGCCTTCACGGTTACCACACTAACTCATGATATTGTATTCTAGATGTACATGGAAATCAAGATCTTGCAAGTCAAGACCGTCTAGCCCTTCTTGTATTTCTCCCTTATCAATATTTCACCCTGCTTTCTCAAATCCTCTTGTGGAGTCGTGTGTTACAGAAAAGAGGTGTAGGTGATCAGTGGCCACCTGTTCAGCTGTAACATGAGCCATTTCAAGGACAGAGGGAATCTTTGTGTGTGATTTTGGTCAAGTCTTATCATTTGTTCGGAGAAGCACTTCCTTCCTAAAACCCCCATACTCTGGACCCTTGCCCTGCCTACTCCTTCTCAGCTGACCTGGAGGTTTTCAGGAACTCCCTCCCCTTCCAGCCACCCCCACTCACTAACTTTCCTGCATCCTGGGTGCCTTGGCCATTCTCCATCCAGCCACACTGGAGGTGGAGTTTCTTCCTGTAAACTAATCCCTGCATCCTACCCCTCCTACAGCCCTGGACTTTGCTAATCAATTATCTCCCCCTATTCTTCTCTCTTCAGCATCTTGCATCACCTGGCTTCTTCCCATCACCATTTAGAAGTGCTTAAATAATGCTCTCTTAATAGCTATCCCCTGTCCTCATGTCCCTGCTGGGTGAAACAATCATTCTCTCCTTTTATATTGATTTCTTCATCCCACATGTATCCCTCAGCTCATCGCCATCTGTTTCTCCTCATGCACTGCGCTAAGCCTGTTCTGATAAATGCTGTTTGTTATGGTTTGAATGGGGTCCTCCCAAAAGACTTATTGAAATTCTAATCTTGGATATCTGTGAATGTGGCCTTATTTAGAAGCAGAGACTCTGAAGAAGTAATTAGTTGCATTGGAGTCATGCTGGGTTAGGATGAGCCCTAGATGCAATATGATTGGTGTCATTATAAGAGGTCAAAAAGACACACACAGAGGCCATGTGGCTACAGACTCAGAGACTGGAGTGATGAGTCTACATGTCAAGGAAGGTCAACTCATGCAACAATCCTCAGAAGACACAGAGAGGAAAAGAAGGATTCTTCCCTGGAGCCTTCAGAGAGAACATGGACCTCCCAACACCTGATTTTAGACTTCTGGCCTGCAGAACTGTACAAGAAGAGATCTCTGTTCCTTTAAGCCATCCAGCTTATAGTGTTTTGGTACAGCAGCACTAAGGAACAAATATACCATTGCTTTTCTTAGAACACAAGATTTTCAATGATAACCTAGGAAAGTCCCTGGCAAACCAGGGTGAGTTTCTCACTCTACCCTCTGGCCCACATCTTCCTTAACTCTCTGTATCACTGAATGCTATGATGGCCACCTCCCTCTTGAAAAGTCCCCTGTTATTGCATCCCATGATGCCTTGTTCTCAACTAGATAATTCCTTCTGGTGGCAGGTAAAAAGCTTTTACAACGGTCCTTTTGGTTTATATTCCTCAAGGTATTCAAATTTGTTTACACAGACTGTGTTTTTTGTCTCTAGCTCCTCAATATTTAGCACAGACCCTCTCACATAATAGGTACCAATTAAATGTCTGTTGTACACTCACTCCTAATTTAGAATGTGCAAATTAAAATAAGCTGAGTTGCCACTTATGAGCTATAAGATTGGCTCAAATCCGAAAGACTAATAGTATACTTTGCTGGAAAAGTTGATTGTAAACAGATACTCACATCCAGAGCAAAGAGAATGCAAAATGGCACAACCTTCATTAATGGAAATTGGGTAATATCTAGCAAACCACATGTGCATTTACCTTTTGACACAGCAATCCCAATTCTAGGAATGTCTCCCAATGGTACTATTGCAAAAACACTAAAAGTTGACTGCAGGAGGTGCTACTCATTTTAATAGCCTATTAAATGGACTATTTTAATCGCTTATTTTAATAGTCCATGATCACAAATGACAGAAAATAACCTATGTTCATCACATAGTAAGAGCTACGTGGCTAGAAAAAGAAATGACATAAATCTATCTGACTAGTGAGTGGCCTCAAGGATACATCATTATGTCAAAAATGCTACATAGAGAAAATTTTATATGTATGCAAGCTTTTATCTAAGAAAGGAGGGCAAGAATATATGTGTGTATACATCTATGTTTATATTAAAAAAGAAGCATGAACTTTAAACACTAAGTAAACAGTTAGCTAAAAGCAGAGACTAAACAGGTTGAGGAAAAGAAGAAGAAAAGCTAGTTTCCTTGAACATCCTTGTTTGATGGATTTGACTTTGAAGCAACACACAATAACGAGATGTAAATTTTAAAAACATCTAAAAAACAAAAGCAAAATTCAAAAAAACTAGTTGCGTTTTGAGTTGGCATAACCATACAAGAGGAAATTATTTCAAGTGATTTCAAGGCAGTAATTCTGCTTTAATCTCCCAATGAAATGTATACGCTAACAATGAAAAGAAGAGAATCATTGTACAGAGTTTTTAGTAGTCAAAAATGATTCCAGTTGCATGAAACTGTTATTCCAAAACAGCTGAATATTCAGGAAAAGGCAAAGGAATAATTATATTGGCTGCAGAGACTCAGGATTATGTGCACGGGAGAAAAAGATGTAGACAGAAGACAGAAGAGGTTCAGGAATACAGTCAGGAAGGGACTTGAAACTAACTGTCTAGAAAGTATATATGGTGCATTTTTTTTTAAATGTTTTCCTCAGGTCAAGACACCTAACTGAGCACCTCCACGCAACATCAGCCAAAAATGGCAGGTTGTTGGGTCTACGGAAGAAAATGACTAAGAGGAGTCAGCGACATCTTGTTGTCCCGGAGAGTCAGCACGTTATCAGAAGCAACTTGGTTTGTGTCAAAAGAACTCAGGAGCCAAATTCAAGAGGCTCCCAGGGCTTGAGATGTCGTTTTACCATCTATAAGAACAAAAACTGTAACTGCTTCAAATAATATATCAAACATTACACCCAGGTATTAATAATAACTCTAATAATCAGCCCTGGCTGGTGTGATTCCATTGGTTGTAGCATCGTCCCATGCACCAAAGGGTCTCAGGTTTGATTCCTGCTCAAGGCACATACTCAGGTTGTGAGTTTGATGCCTCAGTCGACACATGTATCAGAGGCAAATGACCCATGTTTCTGTTTCTGTTTCTCTCTCTCTCTCTCTCTCTCTCTCTCTCTCTCTCTCTCTCTCTCTCTCTCTCTCTCTCTCTCTCTCGTCAATTAAAAACATATCCTCTGGTGAGAATTAAAATCACCACCATCATCAAAATAAGAAAAATAAACAGAAAGCAAACATTACATCTTATTTGTCCTCTTTGGATAATGCTAAAAAAAAAAAAAAAAAAAAACAAACCTCACTAGTCTTAAAGAAACTGATTCAGCCATTCCTATATAAGGAGTACCCTCAGGATAATCAAATGAGATGGCGAAGAAAAGTTGTTTTGTATAGAAATATTCTTGTCATTAAATGAAGAAGAATGACAAGATGAGGAAATTTCAGGTTTGTACCCCTGAATAAATCAGTAAATTTAGGCAATGATCATCAATGACTGCTAACTTCACACTCAGTCATCTGCCTCCAATGGAAGTACACAGCACCATCCATGACAGAGTGGAGAGAGAAAGATCTGAACTTGATTCTAAGCAGCCTTGATATCGGTACAAGTTTACAGGAACATTCTAGTCAGAAGGACATTTGGACAACACCAATGGAATGCATTTGGCAAAACCCACACTGTAGGAAATTCTATACTACTAAGAACTTAGAGTTTTTTAAATAAGTAATATGCAAGGGGAGCAACAACAACAACAAACAGTAAACCATTAAAAGGACTCAAAAGATACACCACGAATTGCAATATGTAAACTTCATTAGATCTTGATTTAATCCCACTGTTATAAAAATGCGTAAGTATCCATGAGACCCTTCAGGATCTCATAATGCTTACCAAATGTCTGGTGACATTACGGAATTATTTTTTATTGTTATTTTTGTCTGTTTGATATGATTATGGTATTTTAAATTCTCTTTTTATAGTAAAACTAAAATAATAAAGATACAATTGTAAGATTTATTGTTTGCTTCAAAATAATTTGGTGGGTGTGGTGTGAACTACAAGTGAGGATTTATTTAAAAAAAAAAAAAAAGTGGGCCATGAATTAATAATTACAGGGTTTGGGTATCCCTTAAACTATCTTTTCTATTTTTGTCTATTTGAAATTGTTGTATATTATTAAATACAATGACTGAATAATTATGATTCACTTGATAATATAACTGAGTTCATTGAGGACAGAGATAAAGACATTTCAATTTCTTCCTGCATGCTGAGTGTCCAGGGTGAAAAGAACTCTAAATAAATACTAATTAATGAAAAAACACATGAGTGGATACACATACCAATTCATTAATCCCATTGATCCACAGAGGAACAGAGACAATTAAACCAATTCTGTCTGCCATACAAAGCCAGTTAGGAACACAAATCACATGTTTTGTGGCAATGCTAAAGTTTTGTGGGGAAATGCTGAGCTGAGATTTTGTTTGTTTGTTTTCCTTTTCTTTGGTGTTATGTCTGTGGGTCACATTTTTACCCCCTGGTTCAAAGGCCCAGGATGCTTCCAGCACCTGCTACATAACAGTGGTCTCAACACAGGGGCTTCCTTATCTGTGAAAATTCTTGAGTTAGTGATCTGTTTCTGGACATGAAATTCTGGCGATGAAGGATTTCATATGTTTGCTCCTATTTTTGAACAACGTCTAAAGTAAGAGTAGTGGAGCAACTGCTACCCTGTCACTAAGTGTGGACAGTGCCGTGGCACTCAGAGCATGCCTGTCCTTACCTTTATAGGAAATGACCGGGTGCTCCGCTCTCTGGCACTGAGAAGCGTCTGTCGTGGGCTGGGCCAGTCTCCACCAGCCCAGGCTGGAGAACAGCCACGCGATGACACAGGGGCCCTTCATGGTGGGCAGGAGAGCTTGGGCTCTGCGCTTGTCTTCTAACCAGAAGCTTGTCCTCCCGTCATGTGGGAAAAGTGCCTGAAACACAAAGGAGAACACCTGAATGGAACCGAGCTCAGCGTTTCTGGTGGTGGCCCTTTGGTCATGCCCTGTTACCACTACCTTGAAGAAAAGAAAAAAAAGAAAAAGAGCTGAGAGCTTTGAGAAGCAGACATTTTTCTGAAGTCAGATACATGTGAGTGTATGTGTGTCTCAATAAGGACCTTTTTCTCACAATCATTTGATGAGATAGTCCATTTTTTATAAAAGGAGAAATGTTCAAGTTTAAGGTCCATTGGAAACATCACGATCACTTTCCTAAGGAATGAAGTTTAAGGGCTGGGATCATCAATTGGTTTTCCATTGGAACATGCAAACACAGACCTATCTGTGGGAACCCTGAGAACCCTGCCCTTCCTTTTTAATATTCAAAAGACCCTATTGAATAAGACTATAACCATTGTCATTGACTTATAAGCCAGTTATTAATATGCTACCCGACTCTTAAAAATTGCCCATATTTAGTGAATTTATCCTTTGAAATGTATAGACTTTGCAGGTCATCCATCCTTTGCATGGATGATCTGCAAAGTCTCTGGCTAGGGACCAAATATAAATCCAATGAAATCTATACTGAGCACCCACTGGGTGAGATGAAATTACTATACTGGGAGTGCTGATACTTGAAAGCCTATGAATAATTTAAAAGATGAATAAGCTTTAAAATAAGATAGGCTTATAAAAATAACTATAATCCAAGTTGTTAAAAAGCCATAAAAAGAAGCAGGAATGCGGTGGGAGTTGAGAGTCCTCGTGCTATTTAGACAGATGAAGGGTGTATCCACAGAGGGACTCACGTTTGAGTTTCATTTTGGAGGATAAAGAGGATTTCAGCAGATGGAGACTTCTGGAAGTGCATTCCATGCCAAAGGAAGAGGATAGGGTGAAAGGATGCCCTGAAGAGGCAAGAGGAAGGAGTAGGCAAAGTGTTTTGGGAACAGTCTGCTATACTTGTCCCAAACACCAGGGGATACAAAAGGAGATATAGTGGGAAGCAGCTTACAGAGTAGGTAGGGTTAAGGTTTGGGAGGCAAACTATACTAATGTCTAAGGTCTCTATATTTGGGCAACAAGCTACCATAGTATATTAATATTACATTAGATGAAACGTTGATAAAATTATTCTTACAACAGTGTACTTGGGAAATTGGGTAGAAAGGAGAGGTTCATTTGAGGACACTGCAGTTGCTCAGAAGAGAAACAAGTGAAGCTGAGACTTCTAATGGTGTCAATGTGAATAAAAATTTAGGCAAACATTCAAAGTGATGGGTTAGCGAAAGTATGGCAAATTAAAGAAGGCTATGGAGCCAAAACCAGTTTGGCTCAGTGGATAGAGCTTTGGCCTGCGGACTGAAAGGTCCCAGATTCGATTCCAGTTGGGAGCATGTACCTTGGTTGCAGGCTCATCTCCAATAGAGGGTGTGCAAGAGGCAGCTGATGGATGTTTCTCTCTCATTAATGTTTCTGATTCTCTATCCCTCTCTCTTCCTCTCTGTAAAAATCAATAAAATATATATTTTTTAAAAATAAAATAAAGAAGGCTATGGATTCTTTGAAATTCCACCAGTTAAGGTTGGGCTCTGACCCCTCTCTTGAAGCTGGGTTATCAATGTGACCAATCAGATACAAGAGAAGTGATGGTGTGCTAGGTTCCAAGCCCAGCCCCTAATACTGCCAGTCTCCATTTCCTATCTCTTAGCACATGCTGTCTGGGCACTGAGACCCCAGGTAAGAAGTCCAGTTACCCTGAGCCTACCATGCTAGAGAGACCATCTAGAGGAGCTCTAGGGACATTTCCCACAGAGCCCAGCCTCCCAGCCCTCCCACCAAGGCACCTGACAGGTGAGTAAGTGTGGAAGCCACTGACGACTTCAATAAGGATGAGAGCAAAGGAATCACCCAGGTGAGCTCTGTACAAACTCCCAACCTGCAAAGTGTGAAATGAAGTAAAATGATCACTGTTCTAATCTGCAAAATTTAGGGAAACAGAAAGTAGAGGCCTGGATGGACTCAAGGCAAAGAATATAAGAGACTGGGAAGCTGGTAGTGCCATTGTGTTTAATATGATAATCAATAGAATTTTGTTTAGAGGAGAATATGATCATTTAGTTTTGTGCATGCTGAATTTAAGATGCTGAGGGAATACTTAAGGAAAAGCAGCAAACTTGAAAATCCAGGCTGGGTGCTCATATAAAAAGAAGTCAGAGACTGCATACAATGTTTAGAAAGGTTAAAATCATGGGAGTGGTTAAATTCACCCAGGGAAAGCATGAGGAGGGAAAAGGAGGAGCTAAATCAAGTTTTACGTTTGTTTGGAAGCTGATAATTAAACAGTCATAACACGAAGATGAGAAGAAAATCAGAGAGAGCTCACCAAGCAAAAAATGGATATCAAGTTAGATTTAAAAATATAACACTTTTTAAAAAGAGACCTGTTCAACTGCATCCCAATGAGTCAGACCAATGCTTTAGTGAAAAGACAGTCAATGATCAATTTGGGGGGACAGCCCGACCAGCATGGATCAGGGGTTGAGCATGGACCTATGAACCAGGAGGTCAGGGTTTGATTTCCAGTCAGGGCACTTACTCAGGTTGCAGGCTCAATCCCCAATTAGGAATGGGGAGGAGAGGGGCATGTGCAAGGGGCAGTTTACCAATGATTACCTCTCATCATTGATGTTTCCCTCTCTCTTCCTCTCTGGAATCAATAAAAATATTTTTTTTAATTGGAGGAAACAGTTTCAGTAAAACAAAAGACAAAATCCATGTGTCAAAGAACCAAAAAGGATTAGAGGGAGAAAAGGTGGGCTAGAACATACATGGCTAACTTGAATGCCAGGTAAGCAAAGAGCATTCAATGAAACCAGAAACTTAACTTGCAAAGTGTGAAATGAAATAAAATGATCATTGTTCTAATCTGAAAATTTTAGGGCAACAGAAAGTAAAGAGGCATGGATGGACTCAAGACAAAGAATATAAGAGACTGGGAAGATGGTAGTGCCATTGTGTTTAATACAGTAATCAATAGAATTTTGTTTAGAGGAGAATATGATCATTTAGTTTTGTGCATGTTGAGTTTAAGATGCTGAGAGAATACTTAAGGAAAAGCAGTCAATGCTAGGAAAAGTTTAGTGTAAAGAAAACAGATCATGAACTGTGGCTTCTGAGAAGTGGTGAGTGGGAAGAGACTGTAGATTAAGAGGGAGAGGAGATATCAAATAGAAGACCCAAAAAATGCAAAAGTGGGAAGCTATTAGGGTCCTTGTAATGGAAGTGGTTATAAATGAAGAATAGAGGCCTCATCCTCTAACAGAGTGTCCCCTGAATATATGGTGAGATTTCACAAAGAAGACACATAAATTTTAGGGGGCATCGGATTTCTCAGTCTCTATATGTTGAGTCTCATTGACTCAATGCTCCTATTGATGAAAATGTACACATTAAGCAGAAGACAGTGGAGGAACTATACATCACGACTAAGCTAGAGTATGGCTTCTGCAGGAGCAGGAACCCTGAGCATGAAGATAGAGGAAGGAATGCAGAAGAAAATTGGGAGCTAGGGGTTGAGGGTAGGGTACCTATCCCATAGGGCCACAACCCCTGCCCAGACACGGTGCACCCTAATGGACAATGAAGGCACAGGAGTTATTTTTTTCCTGGCTTATAAAAATAAAAGATGATTAATTTCACTCTTGGAAAAGATATCATAGTCTGAAAAAATGGGCAGGGCTCTAGAATTCTAGTCTAGAGGTAACCACATGAAGTAGCCCTCCTTTTCTTATCCTTTAGACCTGAGACTTCACACAGGAAATTTCATCAGATGAGGTAACATAGAGTAACACTTGTTCAAGGGACTTCAGATGTAATTTCATTCTGTTCAGAACAAGGGCATCTGAAGCACCCTCACCAGCCCCCTGGAGATAGATTATCACCAATCATGTCAAAACAAGTCAGCGAAGATAAAATAAAGCAGGAAGGCTAGTGAAAGTACCAGGGAAACCTCAGAAAGTGCTAGCTCTGTGGCAGGCATGACACCACACATTCACACTGTCCCTGGCACCCAGCAGGCACCAAGAGCAGTACCTCTGACACATTACCTCTCACTGGGCAACACTCCATTGAGATGGATGGGCCACTGCCTCATCCTGACCTCCCAGCCTGAGTTCAAGTCAACTGGAGACTACGAGCAAATTTTTCTCTTGCACATGATTTTTCAATGTGTCAGGCCCACACCAACTTAGACTCCCCTGTCCTACCTATGAATGAGTTCCACTGAACAACCATCCATTGAAACTGCCCAATGTCAACAGCCATGAACTTCTCACCTCGGAGTCAGCATCTTTGCCTCCTGAAGGAAAGGTGGGGGGAAAAATAGCACAAGTGCCTGGATGTGGAAAGGGGCCATTAGAAAAGGAGGAGATGCCACGTCAAGAGGAGAGCAGCTAAAATGGGACTCGTAGGCCTACGATGATGAGATGAAATTACACGTTTGCCATGAAAAACTAAGTGAAGCACTTTTAAAGAGAACAGGTGATTTTTAGAAGTTTATAATTTTCAGTCTACATAGGATGTTACCTTTTTTCTTAAAATAAAGAGACTATAAACAATCCTTGTGGTAAGATGCCAGAGCCGGGCATTCACCATCTTCATTTACAGAGTGGGCTTTTCTGAGCAGCCTGCCATGCATGACTAATGCCTTTACTCTAAGGCTCCGTCCTAGACTATGTAATTCCATCTTCCACTGAGTCACTGGGCTCTGGCCTCTCGGTGACGGAGGTGGGGAGGCACAGAATTATACCAGGGATTTTAGTGCTCAATCTCAGCGCTGTGACCTTTAGAGCCAGATCATTCTTTATTCCGAGAACCGTTCAGTGCATGTAACAACATCCCTGACTAGATGCCAGGAGCACCCCTGCCCCATCTGTGCCAACCCAAATTGTCTCTAGATACTGCCAGTCACCCCTGGATGAGAAACTCCA